AAGTTCGATCTTGACCACAACGGGAAACTCAGTTTTGAAGAATTCTGCAAAGTCATCGAGAACACACCGCAAGATGTAATTAAGAAGACCGAAACCAAAGAGTAAGTAAATACCACGACCTCTTTATTGGTGTGCCACACACGGTCCTGTCCAAACGGTGTTTGTGCTGGGTGGGCGGGCCACACACGGTCCTGTCCACACAATGATCCATACAATGGTATCTGATCTATTTGTGATTGAAGCCGCACTCACTACAGTACCGACTGAGCCTCCCACAAAACTTAACCAAAACAGTGCGACCAATCGAGCCAGCATGAGCAGGGAAAAAGCGATTCTAATGAGGAGCCGGTTTTTACATCAGCAAAGGGTACAACCCTCCAAGACAACTTCGTCTGAAACAGATAGGTATCTTTATTGAGTGAGTGTTCGCACTTACAAAAGTCTTAGTTCCATGATTGCACCTTGAACAAATCTTGTCAAGTAAATCATCGCCTTATCAATCCTGCGTAATGGTGGAGATGTCATGATGACATACGTTTCCCATTCCCTGCAGTATTGTCACTGATGCTACTTGATGTTACTTGTTACCTTCTGATAAGTAGTTGTGGGTGTGATTCCATGGGAATGAAGAGAACAAACCAGGTCGCGATTCTTAACATTAAGAACGAAAATACGACAAGTAAAAACATCAACAAGACCATCATGGTTGTTTTCTCGCACCGGCCTAACATACTACATGTGGTCCTAACATACTACATGTGGTCCTAACATACTACATGTGGTCCTAACATACTACATGTGGTCAACATACCACATGTGGTTATCGTAATAGTTCGTCAATCATTGCGGCTTGTTTTTTACATAAAGTGGTTAGAGTATCGCCTTGTATTTTTTCTGAGCTCATTAATCTGTATTTAAGCCGGGTCTCGTCTTGCCATGTTTCATTTTTAGCTTGAATTCTGAATATGTATTCTGATCGTCTTAGATCATTAAACACATCTAAGAACTCCTGTCCCTCTATTCCAGGACGGTACTTTAGCATTTCCACGTCGTTAGCGGACATTCCAATAAGCTCCGTACCACTTTCTCCTAACACCGATAATCGCAATGTATCCGTCGCGTCTTGTATCGTCAACTGGAAGATATATTTGCGTTCGGGATCCTTTACTTCCATATTACAATTATCGCAGTGATATGAGTCATCATCTAAGCCACCACCTAACGCTCCATCTGATAGGGACGTGACCTTCTTGTTACAAGAAGGACAAGACGTCCAATAAAACTTTTTATGAGTAGTTACGTTTGTTTCAACAATAGACGCTACCACATTGAAATACAAACCATTATTTTGAAGCTCAGTAGAATTTTGACATTGCTGATGCAATTCAGAAATCGTTTGCATACCGCCGCCGAACACATTTTGGCCCGAACCTGTTGATGAGTTATTAGACACTTTCGTGAACTGCCGTGCGTTATTCTCACTGTACCATTTCTGTAGCTCCATAATTGCTTCCAGCAACAATAATTCGTCTGTATCCCAGGTATTTTTAGTCAAATTGTAGGCAAATACTTGAATATTTCCCGTATTACTCGATAATCGTCTGCCATTGAATTCTTCTACCCTAGCACGCTTGATAGCCACGTAATACTCCATTGAACCGTCGTCAATGTTTTCAGGGATCAAATGACAATCATTACCCCAAAGAGTAACATCGCAAACATATCCACTGCTGTCAACAATGCTGATGCTTCTCTTTTCCTTTTGAGCACCGGTAGACCGTACTGTAATGATTGAGGTTTGATATATCCTATTACAGACACCAATTACATCCAACGTATCATTAACGTTCATAGACAGGATGGCTTTCAGTTCTTTTGGAGCTAGAGTAGTCTTAGGAATCGTGGCGACCTCTTCCTGGGGTGCTGGAACAATTTCAGCGTCCGAACCGAAGGTCAGCTCACAAGGGTGGTCGAAACGCTTAAAACGAGGATTTGCAGGCTTAATGGACCCGTTAGAGAATAAGAACGCTTTATTCACCTCTAGTTGGTAGTAGAACTTGTCTACTGCATCCTGGAAGAAGCTTGCACGTATTTCTACTCCATCGGCATCGATTAAATCCACGTTGAACAGCTTCCCTTGCCCACGAGCATTTGTATACTCCCTTATTGGGGACTTGTTTGTCACTCTCGCTAAAATCCTCCACTTCTCCGCATAAGCCGTAAGGTCGGATATCTTCAAATAAGCTCTACAAAAAACACATGTCTTAACCATGGAACCATAACTATGTATCGCTTACATAGGATTCAGTCTCTGTCTCACAGGAGCGTATGGTTCTGGGGAAACATCTGCTATTAACTTATAGGGTGGTTTGAAGTCTTACCAGCTCGTGTCGTTACGGAGTTTGACCGGCCCCGTTCCGGTCCGTAGGCCGAGGTGGTGGCCGAGGTGGTGGCCGAGGTGGTGGCCGAGGTGGTGGCCGAGGTGGT